GCGAGGGGTGCGAGAGAGACGCAGCGCGACACACTGCTGCCTCAGGATGCGGTTTCGTGGTGCGCAGACCGCACGCAGTCGAGAAAGAAGAGAGGAAATAAAAATTAAAAATTTGTGAAATGAAATTGATCACCGCGAGTGGTACTCGAACCCCAGCCCCAAATAAAGGGGTGGAGACTTCCTGGCGTGGGTGCGCCCGCTGCGCCCGCGGCTGGACGTGCGTGGGTGTGGCCTAATGACGGGAAGGGGGGGGGGGGCAGATCTACATGATAGGTAGGTACAGTACGCAGGAGGACAACGACGAGGACGCAGAGGCTCGGGTTGCCCACGGCTTGCCCGGGATGCTGATACACCGTGATACCGCACGCTCTCCGCGCCTCCGCCTCCACTCGTCTGCCGCGGGTACCCCTACAGTGCACACGTCACCGCCAAAGCACTCCGTTCCCATTCCAGGCACGTTTCGTGGCAGTGTAGGCGGCACGGGTATTCCGCCCCACGTCCCGAGAGGGCCTCCTCACGCCCAGGGGGGACCGCCCGGGACCGCCCCCCACTCTCCCTGCAGCGTCCATTCAAATGAGGTCCAGGACGTCCTCCAGGACCCCAAACAACCACCCCACAGTGGGCCGGGAGGCCGGTGGAGGCGGCCGAAGCTCCAGACGCGTTTTGAGCTCCAGAGTCGCTAAACAGGACTCGAACCGAACGTGTGACCCCACCAATAGATTGCTCTCCGAACGAGGAATCCATTGATGGGGTCACACGTTCGGTTCGAGCCCTGCTTGGCGATTCTGGAGTTTAAAATGCGTCCGGGATTTTAACCGCCTACCCCCGGTGCCGGGTTCGAGTCTCGGGTTCGAGGTTCGAGTCCCGGCGGGGCCCGGCAGCAGGAAACCCGAGGTCACCTTGGCCAACCCCTTTCCCCTTCCCCTTCCGCCTGGCAGACTGACACTCGTACAGTACAGCCCGTCTCAAGAGTGCTCGGCCAGACCACTCGAGCGGGCACCAGTTGGTCCAGCGAGCGACCGCCGCAATGCCCGCAAGCGCACTCACACACACACACACACACACGCGCGCGCACACACACACCTTGTTTGCGGAACACGTTAGCATTCGACAGTCCAGGGCGGCCCATGAGACCAGCCGAGAGCCAACACCATTTTTTACGCCTTACGGTTTCATCAAATTTTCCGTCCGCAGCTGGATCCTATTCGCTTATCGGCGGGCAGCTGCTCGAGGAGCCGACGCGCGCGCACAGACAGACAGACAGACAGACACACACACACACACACACAATAAAAATGCATCGGTCTGCCGCACTGATAAGGCCTGCACCACATAATCGCCCCGCCCCGCCCCGCCCGTGCCGAACTAGAGCAGTCCGACTGGCGGGCCTGGCCAACGTCGGCGTGCGCAGAGATAAGCAGCCACAGAAGCTGCCTCTCTAGAAAACGGCTTGAGACAGGCCAGCGCGGCCACGCCTGAGGTGTCCCCCTCGACTCGTTTTATTCAAACTATGACTTTCGAGCGAGGTCTGTGGCTTCGTAGACATACCCATCCCCACTTGAAAGCCACACGTGGTCGCGGGAAGCACCCATCCCCCTACCCGAGCCTTTCCCCGAGTCAACAAGGCTGCAACATTGTAACCGCTGGGGGGCCTATCCTATCACCTTTACCACACTCCAAAAAAAAAATGGGTGGGGTCACGCGTTCGGTTCGAGTCCTATTTAGCGACTCTGGAGCTCAAAACGCGTGCAGAGTTTCGGCCGCCTCCGCCTGTCTTCTGGCCCACTGTGCGTCCTGCACCACCTGCTCCCCCGCGCCTCATTGAGGCACAGTGCCCCCACCCCCTGCCGAAACAGCACAGCTGACGGGGCCGCCATCTGATGGGGCCCCGGCGGCGTGGCTCCGGGGGCGCCTCCTGGCCTCCGGGGGAGGGGAGGGGGCGCCGGTGCAGACGCCTTCACTCTGTACGTCACACACTTACGCCTCATTGCTGAAGTCCTCCATCTTGACCAGGTTGTTGTTGTAGCCGTGCTGGCTGCCGGGCCTGCCGGGCTGGGGGTAGTAGAAGCCGCCCGTAATCCGTTCCATGTCTGTGTCCGAGCACCTCGTTATCGCATCACTCACTCCACCACACTGCACGCGCTGCACCCCGGTAGGCGCGCCAAATTTCAAACTTGTTCCCCCGTGCGACGCGACGCGACCCTCTCCCGACGGCGGTTCCCTCTACACTGCCGTGGCACGGCACGGCAAGGCAAAGGCAAGGCGCACGCACGGCCATCATCCTGGCCTCCACCACCACCGTCATGACTCGGCACGGCGGCCTCGGCGGCCTCGCCGGCGCTCCCCCCACCCCCTGCCGGCAGCGGCAGGCAACAGCCGGCCGGCGAGCTCTAGCTCCGCGCTCCACCACACTGCTATCGCCGTCTCGCTCCCTCTCGCTGGCGCGCTCGCCCCCGGGCGGCGCTCTCTCTCGCACAGTCTCCCTCCTGCCGGCAGGGGCGGTCCCTAAAGCGACACGCTTGGCCGGCGCGGGGTGAGGCCGGCCAAACGACACTACTCGCTAGAGCATTCCAAAAAACCCCTTCGCTGCCCCGGCCCCGGCGCGACGGAGGCCAAACACCACTACACTCGCTAAGACATTCCACCCCTTTCGTCGCCCCGGCACCAAGTCCGAACAGTTCCTGTTTCCAAGAACAGCCTGGCAATTCTCAAACGGGGAGCCCCATGCATCATGAGGAGACCGAATTTTAAAAGCCAATTGTGGGTTTTGGTTTTTCTACGCTAGGGCTACGTATTCACGCAATAGAGCTCGCTGAAACCTCGCATCTAGGTATGCAGAACGCTTCTTTTGCACTGAGAGACTGGCAAACAACCGCCCACGACCGAATCCTTTGAACGCGCTGAACGCGTCACTAGAAGTCCGGTCAGTCAGGCCGGGGCCCGGCCCCACGGCGGAGCAGGGGGGGGGGGGGGGCTTCGTCTCGTCCTTTGTGGGCCGGCCGGTGGCGTGCCGCGTTTGGCGCCAAAACTCGCCGCCCGCCAGGGAGGGGGATTTAAAGGGCCGGGGCTGCCGGGGCCCCACTTCCCACGCCAATCTTGAATGCGGGATTCGAACTGGACCGAAGGCCACTCTCTTCGCGGACTTCCCGGGTGCAGTGCTTTGCGGAACCCAGAGGGCTGCTGGAAGGCTTGCAAGCCGCGCCCCGCGGCCTCCACCCTGGCACCCCTTTGTCCAGTGTCGTGGTGTGCTCCAGGTCCAGAACTCCTGCACGGCGGCACAGACCGCGCGGGCTGCACTTGGGCGACGGCGCGCAGTGGGCCAGAAGACCAGTGGAGGCGGCCAAAACTCTAGACGCGTTTTGAGCAGCAGAGTCGCTAAACAGGACTCGATCCGAACGTGTGACCCCACCAATGGATTCCTTATTCGAAGAGCAATCCATTGGTGGGGTCACACGTCCGGTCCGAGCCCCGTTCAGCGACTCTGGGGCTCAAAACGCGTCTAGAGTTTTGGCCGCCTCCGCCCGGTGTGCGGTGGTGACCCGGAGGCCCGCCGAGGCGAGAGCGAAAGTGACTGTGACTCACTGTGAGTGCGCAGGACGGGGCCCCGGGGCAGCACTGCACCTTCCCTTCCCGGAACGCGTGTTCTTCCTGGGGACATCCAGCCAGCCTGGCTACTGTAGCCTGGCTCCGCGTCCGCGCTTAGGCCCGGTCCCCGTGCTCCCACGGCTAGGGGCTAGGCCTTTGGGCGGTCCCGGCGGTCCCTCTGCTCCCCTCCCCACCCCTGGGCACCTCTATGCCTCCACGGGCCGTGGCTGCCGTGGCGGGCCGCGCTCGCACGGGGATGGCGAGGGCGAGAGGGCCAGGTGGCTGAGGGCGGCCCCCCCAACCCCTGCCCCGCCCCGCTGCATCCCGCGGGCACAAGCCCGGGACCGCCCCGCCCCGCCCCGCCTAGCTTTATACAATTCCCGAATTTACCTCGATGGATTTAAAAGGACGGCCGCAAGTCAAGTCGAGAAGGCAGTAGGCGGAGTGGGGAGGTATTGGGGGTGGGAGGGGGACCCCCTTTTTTTTTGGAACAGCAAGGAAAAAATGTGCATGTGGAAAATTCTGAGCAAGTATAAGTACTGGGGTATTTTCACATTGGGGGTACTGAACAGGTATGGGGTACATTCATTGGATTTGACTTTACATTCCGGTTGTCTGTGAGCATTTCATAGAATCAGAAGTCAAGACGCTGCCGTCAATGAAGGATTCTCCCCAGAGCTTTCATTGTGGCTTGTAGAAAGCTCTTGAACAGCAGATAGGCAAACTTAGTCAAATCTGATAAATTGACGGAAACCACAGTGTGGGCAAAATAGAATTTTTCACTTGACCGTGCAATCACTGGTAATTACTGTAATTACTGATAAAATGAGTACACAGAAGTAAGTAAGTACACTGATTGCGGCAAACATGACAGTGAATGGGGTGTAATGGGTAGTTTCGGATTAAATCCACACTTGAGTAGCCTTGAGATGATAGGCCTGGACCATTGAAACATTCGACCACAAACTTTACTATAATAACACCTTGCCAATGTCCCTCATTAGTATTTTGGTAGGTAACTGAATGTAACAGCAAAGACAATGTTGACCTAAGAGAAGTAGCAGCACCAACAGCATCAATCAGAAAATGGAATTGAGGTCTAGCTGTCAGATGGATTTGTCACTAAGGACAAAGGACAGGTTAGCATCCTATGCAGGTATAACACAATTTCCGAACAGCACTGTTTCTGGTTCGCTAAGCACGCGTTGCGAGGGGAAGGAAGTCCAAAGAATTTAGCTTAGAGTCATCCAGAGCCCTTGGGTTCAAGTCTAAGAACATTGAATGTTTTTGACAGTTCACAGGAAAGATACAATGGCATCAGGAGGGACTGTCCTGTCAAAATGATACACTGGATGATGATTCCACACCGTTCCTTCGAGCAGACCACCAAAATACAGCGTTCGCAGAATACTCACAACATCTTGAGGGTTATTTAGGCGAGGAATCACATCCCACGGCGTCCAAACTGTACAAAAATACACTCCAATCTTTCTTCTTGAGATCTATTTCACCAAACACAACACAGAATTTCAATATGGCCGTCTGTTTTGGCGCCTAACCCGGCAAAGCGCCTTTGAGAAAAGCGAGATCGACCCGACTGAAAGTCAACCTTCAACTGTTCTGTTTTTGTTTTTGTTTGAGTGAAGTGCTTTCTGAACCAGACGAAAAGTATGTTTTGAGGCCTCATTGCCTCATTCTCACGTCATCTTTGGTGCTTCTGCGTCCCCACTGATTGGTATGTCGATTCATTCTGTATTTGATTGAATTCTTTTCTGCGCAAGGCTTCTAAATCGGCTAAAGCATAACGCTGTATTAGGTTAGGTCGCTGACGCCAAATTAAAATTTCAATGTTTTACTTTGTACTCGTTTTGCATTACCGTTAACAGTGATTATAATTAATGAAGATTCCACAACATTTACTGTTTTCTCGTTGTTGCATCTTCCCACCTCTTTCAAGCTGATGTCTAATACCGCATAATAGCCCAATGGTGCTTGCTGCATTAAAATCAGTTTGTTTTTATTTATGTTATTATTCTTATTTGTTGCAGACAAATGGATCACAGTCAGGCTTCTGGTTCAGGAACATATGGTGGTGGCAACCTTCTAAACAATGGAGCGCTTGCTAGTTCCTCCTTTCAGGCATCGCAAAGCCATTCAGGAGAGTCGCTAAAAAGAAGGAGGTTTGTATTATTACTTGCTAGATGCCTCCTAAAAGCTTCTTGTTCTAGTAAGTTCACTAATTATTTGTTTTTCTTTTGAGCAGCAGTTCACGTTCCATCAAGCGGAGGAAATTTGATGATGAGTTGGTGGAATCAAGTCTCGGGGCTTATGGCAGCCCAGTTGCGTCAAAAGTAGTGAGACAACGAACTCAGTCAGTCACCCTTCCTCCCCATCCCATTGAACGTAGCTATGGTACACTCACATAAATGTTTTCTAAGATTTTTTTGTTTTTATTAATGTTTACTGTGGTTAGACATGATTTTATTCTTGTCTTTACAGAGCATTCTGCTCCAAGCACTAGTGCAAGCACAATCAGTGTACCCCCAGCGCCAGCACCAGTACCTCCACCTCCACCACCAGAAAATCGTCAGAAACGCACCTCTAGCAAGTCAAGTAACATGTCTGGGAGCCGCCGGAACCGAAAGCAAAAACATGCTCACAATGTTTCTGCTAAAGACTTAGGCCGCTGGAAACCAACAGATGACCTTGCACTTATTATTGGAGTACAGCAGGTATATTTTATTTCCTTCTATTTAATCTTCAAAATATTTGATAATAGTTGCTAATAAATTCATCCTCTTCTTTCTAGACTAATGATATTCGGATGGTGCACAGAGGAGTGAAATTCTCTTGTCGCTTTACTGTACAAGAACTCCAGCAAAGATGGTATGCCCTCCTGTATGATCCCATTGTCTCCCGTGTTGCTGTTGCTGCCATGAGAAATCTTCATCCTGAGGTTACCCAGGCAGTGCAGGCTAAAGCTTTATTTAGTAAAGCAGAAGAAGAACTCCTTGGATCAATAAAATCTGTAAGGAAATTTTGGAAACATTTTTTATTTAACCTTAATCAAGTCAATTTCTTTAAAAATCAACTTCTTTTGTCCAGACATCCTCTCCATCAGTGGCAACTATGGCAGAACTTCTTGAGAAAAATCCACAAGTATTTTTTCCTGCCCGTACTGGCAAGTCCCTGTTAACTCATTGGACTTTGATGAAACAATATCACCTTCTACCTGATCAGACAGGTTGGTTGAAATTTTGGTGACCTATGCTGCTGATTTTTTTTTGTTAGGACTTCAAAAAATATTTATCATTCACTTCAATTTTTCAGTGCAAAGTCTACCACAGGCCGAACATGTTCTCAACTTTTCTGATGCTGAAGAATTAATTAATGACGCAGAACTAGCTGATCTCCGAGATGAGGCACTTGAACAAGAGCTAGCGATTGCTGATCGGTGAGAATGATGTGAGATGTTAACTAACTTCTCCCAATTCTTGTTTAAGTTACTAACTGTATCACTTTATTTTGTGCAGGCGAGCAAAAAAAGAAATACGCACATTAGAAAACGAACTGGGGCGGTGGCAAGTTTTAGTGGATTCTGTAACTGGCATTAATCCACCTGAATTTGACAATCAAACCCTTGCTGTTCTTCGCGGACGATTGGTTCGATATCTCATGCGCTCCAGAGAGGTAAGGAAACTCTTCAATAGTTGTGTATATTGACTGGCAGGTGTGTCTTTCTGTTTCACATATGCTTTCTCTTGCTACAATTCAGATTACCCTGGGACGTTCTACAAGAGATCACAGTGTGGATGTTGACCTCTCTCTGGAAGGACCAGCATGGAAAGTATCCCGCAGACAAGGTACAATACGTATGAGAAACAACGGCGACTTCTTCATTTCCAGTGAAGGCAAACGGCCGATTCACGTGGATGGCCGGCCTATCCTTCAAGGGAACAAATATCGGCTCAACAACAACTCTGTTGTCGAGGTGAGCAATTCTGCAATGTCTTTTCCTGGTGCTCTTCTTGAGCATGTGCTCAGTGCAGATTCTAAATTTGAGGTTTCTAAAATTTCCAGATTGCTGGTCTACGGTTTATTTTCCTTGTCAACCAGGAGCTGATAAATGCTGTCAGGGTTGAGGCAGCCAAGCTTTCAACTGTGACAATCTAATTGCCAAATTGAGTTTGTACTTTACACACTAAGATTTCATCCTAATTTACATAGAAACATTTAATGCATAATTAGATAGAGAATAAATTAATGCTAATTATTACTTGTTTAGATATTTGTTTTATTTTCCATTAAATTATTTTCTACTTCACAAGTATTGTTAATTTATATGATAACTTATTCAGTCAGTACATTAACAATTATTTAAAAGTGATTGATTCAGTAAAAATTAAACAAAACAAAGGAGAATTACTGATACAGCAGAAAACCATCTACATGTCACTAATGATGAACAGAGCAATGAATAATGTAAATGAGCGATTTTACACAAATATCACAGATGAATGGCAATTTGGCTTTTAGCTGTCAATTACCCACAGAACATTGACACCTGATGGACCTAAGTTCACACGACCCAACATGCCATGCTCCTGTGTTTTCACAAGATGCAGAAACAGTAAAACAGTGTGGAAAAGATTGTTTCGTCCCTGTAAAAACAAATTACAGGATATCACAGTCTGGTTTTGTACCTTTAAATAATATCAAAATCTTCAGAGTATGTAACATACCTTTGTCACATCAAGTGTCTCTTCACCAACCACCAATACATAATGAGGTGGATGTAAACTAGTTTGATGGATTGCAAGAGTGTTTTTAGCCTTGGGAGGCTTCTCTGGCGACTTGAAGAAATGTTGCGTGCTGAAAGGACGTCCATCTGGGTTTTGAGGTAACGGCAAAAGTTGCGAATCTAAGTATGTTGCTAACAAATGCATCACAAGCTGAAAGAAAAATCACAATTATTGATCTTGTGTTAGTACTAGGTACTGCCCAGAATTGAATGGCGTAATGAGAGTCATGTTAGCTGATATTCCTAGAAATTAGTTACACTTACCATAGCATCAGTAGGTAGATTTTCATCCCAGGGTTTGCCATTGAAACTGCCTCCACTATTCCAACGGAATTCGCTCATACACCCTCCTTTGGCAAGTTCTAAAATAAAAAGATTGAGAAAGTTACAAATTTCTGAACAGAAATATGAATTTTAAGAAATTACAGGTTACAGCAGTACCAACCTCGAATTCGAGAGACGACATACTCTTGATGAGGAGACAACTCTAGGAAAGGGACCAAATTGGGAAGTGTTGGTATGTTCTGAACAACAGTCAATGTACGGGCTGTTTTTCGAAGTCTTTCCAGACCAACTTGTCCCACTCGCACATCAGAGATACTTTGTCTTGCCAAGGCAGCATCTACAGAATCAATCTCTTTTTCCAGTCTTTCAAGAATGGTCTTTGATGTCCACTGCAAAGTTTTAACATAAACCAAAAAGTTAGAAAGTATCCGACAACAAGAAAATAACATCAAGAATTTTGAAAACAAGGTATACCATTCGTAAATTGGCATTCCACTGAGTGAGCATAGAGGGGTTTATTTTAAACCGCCGCCACACTTCTTGACAGTGAAAGAGAGCAGATGGCGAACTTGTGTCATCACTGGTGGCACCAGGGCTGCTTGGACTCTGAGCTGCAAAATAGATAAAGGCTACAGTTTTAGCATGTTGTTTTTTTATTTCTAGGACCTTCAAAGGCCAGCAACTTACTCGATGAATGAGATGCTAATTGGTAGGTACACCTTCGAAGTAAAGGAGATACCTCACCAGTAGTTCGACTAGCTGGGTGACTCCAAAATGAACTAAGTAGGTTTGTTGGCTGTTCAATGTTGGCCACTGGAAGCAGAACACTGGTATTAACCTTTCAGAAAAAATGTTCTTGAATTTATAGATGGTCTGGTCAATAAATGTGAAACTAAGATTTAGAGGGAGATAAAAATGATATGAAGGTGGTGAATGATTTGGACATAATGAAAGTAAACATTACATTTATTTATTTTACATTCCTTAGAGCTAAAGAAGTGATCTTAAATGGATGGAATGAGGAGAAAAAAAAAAAAAGATTCTTCTATTCATCATTCCTAAATTAAAATTATCTTAGGCAAACTTTTTTTTAAAAGCAGAATTAAACTTATTCTGAACATAACAACAACTTGGCTGTTGCAGAGGAGAGACAATACATATAAAAATAATGAAACTAGGCAAGAGATAGAAAAATTGCAAAGACAACTTTGCAGTGGAAATTCAGTCAGGGTTTCTTACCAACATCCAATCAGCATGTAAGCCTTAATCTATGACATTAATCACTAACTTGGCACAAGAACATACCATATAGAAAAAAAAAACATCATAATGAAAATAAATTTTATGCAGTTCCCATGAATAAGAAATGGAATTTAAATCAAGAATGAAGTTGAATTATGAACAAACAATGAAGGAGGGCATTTTCTCTACTTGGTTCATACCATGAACTGAACTCTTCTCATGAGACTCGAAGTCTCTAAGATACTGGGTCAAGGAATCTTCGTCTCCAATGAACTCCGAAGATGGTGTGGAAGGCAGCTGACTTGAGAAGGAACGATTGGGCGATGTTGTGGTCTGGCGGTTACGGAGGCCATCTCGAGATGTATCTGGGGAGAGTGACATATTTGCAGGAGAGGCAGCCTGATACATCCATGACGAAGAAGAAACTGAGTAGTTCTGGCTACTCATAGTGGCTATTAGACAGAGAAGAAAAATGCAATAAGAAAATATAAATTGGTTTCACAAGTTATGAAAGTGAAAAGAGAAAGACATACTGTCATTCAAAGGGGATCCAGCGCCTGGGGAAAGTGTCGAATTGGACATCCAGCTGAGAGCTGTCATGTTCATGGGCGTTATTGCTCCTTGAGCAGCACTGCTCTTAACTGGTGTTGGGGAGAGCGCTTTTTTAAATTTGAAGTAGGGATCTGCAAGAAAGCAACACATGACAAAATGTAAAGGGAAAAAATGCGACAAAAACGGGGAACATGCAATACAATACACACCATGATCTTTCACTCCCAGAAGTTTCTGCTGTCTGGGAGTAATGGCCAAGGGCTCAATGCTGAAAGCCGTCCATAGGTAACGCCCAAAGTGGTAGAGCGCATTCAGAAACAGAACGCCAGCCACTATGTACTCCCCAACTTGAGTATAATGACTGTAACGGGGGCATGTGTAGATGCTAAAATGAAAACATTGAGTGTTAGTTCATCCACAAGATCTCAGCGTCAAGACTAAGGAGGTAATGAAAGCGCGCTGCGTAACGACTTACATGTCCAGCAAGAGGATGCCAAACACGATAGAGTTGAGGCAGCCCCACAGCAAGCTGGATCTGGCTTTCTTGGCATCGCTGTTCAGCTGGATAGTCCGCTCCAGGACCGGGGTCGTTGGTTGTGATGCCATTCTTCTCTAATCTGACAAACAAAGACATTAGAGTCACACTTGCGTTCTTTTGGAGACCTATTTATGGCGAGTAGGCACCGGAGTCGCTGAGAATGGACGAGCAGTTCGAAAATGTAAACACACGACAGTTTGCTAAGGCCATAACCTCTGAAAAGACTGGCGAAAAGCGGCGGCAATAGTAACTCCCTAACTATATACGATACAGGGAACAAAATTCAGACAGAACGGTGCGTACTTACATTTTTTCCCCCTCAATAACACAACTACAAAAACAGAAATTGTTTACGCTGCTCCCCAGCCGCGGCAAACCGGCAAAAACACGTTTTTTCTTCTACTTTCAAATGTTTCCTTTCCCCTTTCGCGCCCTTTTCAGTTTTAGATTTTTCATAGTTCTATCGATGCATCGAAAGTCGAGAGAATCGAACCAGAGGCGCCCTTTTCGGATTGCTAACCGAACCGAGTCATGAAGCAGGGCCTTTTCCTTTTCCTGTATGTTCCGGCGCGAAAAAAACTCTGACAGTTTTTGCTTCGCGCTCAGACTTGCATTGACTGAATGAAAATACGACTAAATTTGTAAATTAATTTATTATCACATGATATCGCAAGGATATCTAAAATCAGGTGAACAGCAATATTTGTTTAAGAACAAGAGTTTCAAAATATTGATGGCGATAAGTGCATTATACACAGACAGTTGAGGACAGCGGTTACATTTTTACCAAAACAGTTGACTAAACATTTATAACATTGGAGACATAACATAGTTAAAAAATTCGTAACGCACTTTCCTACCTTGCACTGCAGTAATTGTTCTTAAGTTGTACAATACAACAACCAATAATAACGACTTTGAAAACAAAAGTGAAAGTCATGTGAACAGCTGGAAGGAAATACAACAGAATTTGGTCATTTGAAAAAAATAACAAATCAGGTTGAAAATTGTAAAATTGATAACATAAAAACAATTATAAATCTGTTTGAACTTAGATAATGCAGCAAGACAATCTCAACAGCAGTAAGCAAACAGTTTGTCAGTATTCATATTTGGTATGTATCACCAGATGTATTTTATCAAATCTGAGGTATACAGGAGATACATGAAATTACCAACAAACTAACATTAGGGTGAAGTCAGCTTTAAACCTATTTCATTCCTTATTTAAATGGTGATGATCACCCAAGTAAGGTAAAACATTAAAAGTATGTACACAGAACCTTAAAAGCAAATATGCGGTAGGTAGCTTATCTTTTAGCATACTGCTTCACATAGTCATTTACTTTCTGTCTGAAAGCCTCTTTATCCTTCAAATATAATTCTGTGGCTTGCAGGTTCAATGGGTCATCAAAATTTAGAAGATCCTGTAACAAAGAAGTGTCAAACAGGAAACAAACATGTAAAGCAACAAGATAAAGCATATTGATGACTTACAGTGAATAGAGAATTGAGTCCCCAGACCACATCCTTTATTCGTCTTGTAGGTGCCCACCCCAAGCTATCAATAGAATTTTGTCGTAACAAACTAAGGCAAATATCACCCTCTTCACTTATGTTGGGATGCCATAATTTTGTGAGACATTTAACTTCAGGAGGCTGAAACAAAGAATGAAAAATTATTTTAAAAAAGTAAAATGTAACACTGAGCAGGACCAAAGTTGAGACCAATACCTCAAATGATCATTATAAAAAAAACAAAAAAAAACAGACACTTTGAACTTGAAAACAAGAAAAATATCAACATAAACAAATAATGGGACACTTACAGCCATATTATAGTCTTCAGTAACATAAATATGAAAGTGAAAGGTTCCTCCTGCCCAGTAGCCTTCATCTGGAGAGACTGTGAGGGTAATGTTGAAGAGTTCATTTGGATTCTCAAAATTAACGTGGCAAGTGCCAGGTAATGTTTGCTCCATCTCTTGTACCTGAAACAATGCCCAATTTATTATCAAAACAGTTCAGTATAATACCTGAATTTTTGCTCAAAAAACAAAAGATAAACAAAGAGCCAAGAGAAGCGCAAAGGCATAAACACTGACCTCTTTCACTAGTAGTCTATCACGAACGGAAACTCTTTTCGATGCATCGGTAATAGGGGGCCCATTGGAAACAGTTGTTTCTTTCTTCAGCTTTCTTGTTAATGTTATCATTTCACTGGAAATTTAAGTCAGGAAATCAATGCTTAAAATTCTTTGACACTGCATTAATGACATTTACATAAATAAATCAGCAAAAGACTAGGTTAGACCAGAAAAACTTGTAAATTACGGGTAGCTTTAACAGTACTGTGTTAACTTAACGAAATGTCGCAACATGAGAGGGAAAGCATTCGGATGAAAGAGTAGAAAAGAGAAAACAACTTAAAATATATTGCGTGATGCGTGATACGTCAACTTGACAAGTCGTTTTAAGTTTGCTTTGGTCATCGAGTGACGGAAATTTTAGCCACAACAAAACTATAATTGTACACTAGCTGTGTTCCAAAGTGTCATAAAAATGAAGCTCGAATTTACCTTAAATTTCACCTTTTGAACAAAAAGACTTGAGCTAAGTACTCAAAAGACAGAACTTTCAACCATTTAGGTGGTGAACGTGAGCGACAACAAACAGCAACTGAAACTTTTAGAGGAGCGGTGAACTTGTCATACCGACTAGTGTCTTTTGGTAGTATGAGAAATAAAGCATAACCATGTTTCTGTTTGGAATTTTGGTTTGAGTACGTCGGCATTGTTTATTGCTCTATCTTACTGTGTATGAGGTTGTCATCGTGTAAAACAGTCACTATCTGCGAAATCAGAAAAATATTTTGAGGTATTCGTCTGAGAGAAAGTTTAAGTGGTCTCCCTAAGTACGTTTCTCGCGTAAAACTTTATGCTTTTTCGCAGGTTATGTTTATCTATCGGTAACTTGTTCAACGATTTATCCGGTAGACTATTGTTTTTAATGATGGAGGAGACTGTGGGAAACAGTAGAGAAATTAATGCCAAACTTATTGATCCAGTGTCAGTGCTCAAGGTAACTTCTATTTAAAGAGACAAGAGAAAATGATAGATTAAGTGGACTTCGTCTGTACCTTTTTCAATCCTTTTTTTTTTTACAGGAAATTACAAAGCTTGTTAGTGGAATAAAAAAGAATGATTCAAAACAGAGGTTTAATGAGGTGAGGATTCAAAATAAATTTTACAGTTACCGCTTGTTTTAAAGAATAAATGTTCAGAGATAATTTGACGAAAGTAGTGGCACATACCTTTCTTTAGTTTCTGATTGATTGGTTTGTATAATATGTTTCCAGACCCCTGAAATGAAACAGTTGCGTGTCTTGATCTGCGATAAGATACCTGTTCGCTCTGTTACCGCTTGCCAAGGGCTTCTCTCACTTGTTGAAGACAACATTTTACCTCCTATACATGCTATTTCATTGCTGGTGTCTGCATTTTCTAATATCCAGTAAGTGGACTGATCTCCCTTATGACATAAATCTTTTCACCATGTTTACAATGTTCAAGTTTTTATTGTATCTCTTTTCTCTCTGTTAGGAATTATTCAGGTGTGACTGCTGCACTAGGTGTGTTGCTGCGATGGGACATGAATGTTCGACCCAAGCCATATGAGTGCCCATTTTCCTTGTACCCAGTTCAACACCCCCTTATTACTCTCCTGAAACAGAAAAAAGACACCTGGGCCGATGTTTATCGACTTGTTCAAAATTTCTTCTTCCACTCTGAAAAATGGTGAGATTTTGCTGAGTTTTGCTATATAATTTTGACATGCTGTCAAATTGGCAGAGCAGCTTGACCCATGTTGACCTTTTTCCAGCATCAAGAAGGAAAATATATCATTATTGCAACCCCTATTGCTGTATGTACTTTGCGATCCACAAACAACTCCTCATTTGCCTCCAGAGAGCCGTCAAAAAACCTGGGCATTGATGCTTCATTTTTTGGATGATTTATCTGTTAGGCAACTAGTTTTCCAGAGCATTCCATGGTTCCAGGTAACTGGAAAGTTTTTTAAACATTTCCTGATGTTGGTTCAACATTTGGCCCTGAACTAACATGATAGAACCATTTATTAAAGATTTCAGATGAATCTCGCTGTGTGGAGACAGGAATGCTGCTTCTGGACCTTTGTGAGTCTTCACTTAGAATTCGCGATGGGCAATTGTGTGTTGCTCTGGCTCCTCTAGCAGCAGCATCGATCCGCAACCTGGTAACTCGAGGAGCAGACCCGGAACCCTGCCTTGCTACAGTGTTCCAACTCCTTTGCATCTCCCCCAATGCAGCTAGTTGTGTAATGCTGTTGCTTGCAGATACTATAACTGTTTGTCCTGCATCATTCCTTGCTCCAATCTTGAAGTCTTGTAAGTAATCACCTCATAGTGTGTTATGCTTGTGTTGTGCCAAATGATTTTTAAAAATCCATTTTTATTTATATTCTTAGGCAAGGAAATATTTGACCTCCATGCTTGCAGTGAAGTCTCAATGTACGCTGTAGTCAGTGCTTTACTCCCCTGGCTCGCCTCTCCTTCCGTTCTCACTAGAGAGGCTCTTCAATTAGGTACAAAGCTTTTACTCGAAATACGGGAAGCTCCCTCAAGTTACTGGAGCAACACAACCAGTCGTTTGTGTGCCAATCCTTGGTTTCGCCTTTTGAGACATTCTTTTGAAAATGTACATGAAGCTGCAGAGCTATGCAGGTAGCTTAATTATCTTGTTTAATTTTCTTTTTCCAAGCAATGCGTGCCACCTAACTAATTCCATTTTCAATTTTAGAGTCAGTGAGTCATGGCGCAGTGAGGCAGAAGTAAAAGAATGGCTAACTTTTGTGAAGACTTCGTCGCCATTATTTATAGCGAGATTTTCCTCTTATTTCTGTGCCCTGCTGATTTCTGGTGCTTCAGATGAAGTAGAGGAAGAAGGCAATGAAATTATTTGGGCCCCCTTGTCTGTGTTGGTGTGGCTGGTCAAAGATGAGCCAGAAGTAAGTGGAAGAGTAACACTGGCTCTTCTCTACCAACTTGCTCAAGAAAAGAGACCTCTTCATCAGGTTGCTTTACTCAGAGCAATAGCAGCTATGGGAAAACATGAGGTAAAGTTTTTGAGTATAGGCCACTATTTAAAGTGTTTAATTCCGTATTACATTTTAATAGTATTTCTCTCTTTGCAGGAGAACATGGTGCTTGTTTTAGGAGTGTTGAAATCATTATCTATGGGGGGATTTTATTCTTCTACCCTTGCATTGGACCTTTATCTTCGTGTTTGGAAAGCGCAACCAAGAGCATATCGCTTTTTACATGAACTCCTCACAACTCCGTTCAAAGGAGATAATCCAGATCTAATTTGGGAGCTGAACATTGCAAAAGCAGCAGCAATTAGAGAGATATGCTACACCAAGTACACATTTTATTTCATATTGTGCTGCATGTTTACATTTCCTAATTTTAAAATTTCTTCTCTTATTTCATTATCTTAGCCCTGATGCTCATGGTTCTGAATTGGTGCCTGTCCTGTCCCAAGTGCTCTCTCAAAATACAACCGCAGAAGGAAGTATTGCATCCGCCTTGGCTGTGCAAGGCATTACCAGCCTGTGCCGGTCGGGTGTCATGGACGTAGTGAGTACATGGCGAGGCCTCTCTCCAAAACTGCTTCGGGACAAGAGACCAGACGTTATTGTTAGGTAAGCTTCCAAAGAAAGAAGAAAATATTGGGATATTTTGTTTTGTCTAATTTTATGAAATTTATTTCCAGCCTATGTGAGCTTTTGAGTGTTGTGTCATGCTTGTCAACCACAACAGGCAAATATGAGGAATTTATAGCAGAAGTAATAGTGACTTTGTGGGGTTGGATTCAGCATTCCAATTCTGAGGTTGCCTGCGCTGCTTTGAGGTAGGTGTTTTCTTATTTTTCCTTGGCTCCTACAACCCAATGCTTTTTCATTTCATGTTAACAGCACCTTTACTTGTACAGAGCACTTTCTGAATTTCACCTGAACCAACTGACTCTGAAAACTGTACCGGCTGCTTTCCGGACCAACTTGAAGCTTCCGCCATCATTTTGTAAAACACCAATTGATGCTGCTCGTGATCCAGTTGATGTTTTGCCGTACATACCTGGTGGGTGTGACAAAACCCCTTTCTCTTAAAACTTATTGCATTTTCTACACCTTCCTAACAGAAAGTTTATTGTTCCAGGAGACTGTTGGAAGCAAGTATTACAAGGTCTTGGCAAATTAGAAGATAGAAAAGATGCAGTTTGCAACATGTTGGCCTGTTTCATGCGACATGAGATTAAACTATTTCACAGAGGCTTGTACAATCAACTGCCGTCCAAGCCAGAACCCACATCTTACGAGCACTTACATGATAGCAGTATTTTGAAAACAATGTTTGGCATTTGCTATCAGACCAGTAAGCATGAACCCATGCTGGTTGCTCTTGCACTTTCAATCCTATCTAATGTATTTCCCAGACCGCTTCCACCTGTCAGCTGGAACTTTTTAGAGGCAAGTCAACTGATTTTGCCTTCTTTTCTTTTAAGGTGAAATGTTAGACTACAAACTATAATTATTCAATTCTCTAGGAAAAGCTGAAGCTTGGTGGCACAGTCAGAGGGCACTGTCTAAAGATATTGGCCATGCAGTGCCAAGCTTCACAATCTGCCAACCGAATTCTGCTTGTTGTATTATCTTCATTGAACCTTCCAGATGATATTGTAAGGACTCATCGTGTTTTTTATATATCCTTCCTATCTCTCTCCAGTTCTCTGATATTGATGTTGATCTGATTTTAGGAGGATTGCAAGATTCTCTTTTCCATGTTAAATTATCTAGGGCAGGGTATACCACCAAATCATCTTGGTCCATTTGTCAACAAGTGTATTTTGTATGCCACAGAGACTTTTAAAAATGGTGAGTTTAAAAATTAGTAACAATAAATTTTTTGGTGCTAGCATATAAGCTTATCTTTTTTAATTCTTGTGCAACTGTACTTTACATTAGAAGAACCCAGTGAAGAATCTCTGCTGAAAAGTTTTCTGGGTCACCTAAAATTGGCTCTCCAATCTCAGGATGTGCATAAAGCCAATACAACTGCTCTCGCTAATATAACTGAGAGCCTGGTGAACCATTTAGATATGTCTCATCAAGTAAGTAATAAAAAAAACAAGCTGATAAACTTATTTGTTCTTCTAAAAAATCATACACTGTGTTGTGTATCTGCACAGATATTTGACTCATTCATAGAATGTGCACTGGTGCTGCCTGCAAAGAATGTGGAACGCATTATCTCACCTACTCTGTGGTGGGAAACATCACCAGATAAAATCGAAAGTGCTGTGCGAGTGAGCTCTGCTATTGCCATGGCTCAGGATTCTGACATGCCCCTGGCTGCTCTCAATGAATGTATTGACGTGTGCACAGCAGCAGATTCCAAGTAAGATTTTTATGCTATTCCTAGGTGTGAAAGGTCAGGCTTTTTCCTAAAGATGTGTTTGTGTCATTATCAGGGCTCATGAGTGTATCCTGGAGGCTATTATAAATGTGGTCAGAATTTGCCGAAGTCATGAATCTAACAGCCGTTGGCTGCTGCAGATGTTAGGCCGCATCCAAGCTGTCAAAGCAAGCCAAGACAATGACAGTCAACAAAAGCAGCAGGTTTGTTACTGCTCTTACACTTCCATGCATTTTCTTTTTCTCTGGATATTACTCACCTATCATTAACTATTGCTTTCTTGTACAGGTTTTGCACTCATATTGTGATCTCTTCATGGTTACTGTTATTGCTTTGGCTGGCCACGATATACTTACTGGTGATCCCAAAATAATTGCTTCGAGTAGTCAAGATCGCTTGTTGTTATTCCCTCAGGCTCTCTCAGCCTTGCTTGATGCAAATGAAACATGGAGAAGTTTAACTACACAGGTTTGTCTTTATTGCAATTTTCAAAAAGAAAGCGCAGTATGCTTCTGTTTTATCCAGTTGTAAAGACTGTTCTAAATTCATTTGCAGGTAATTGAATGGCTCTATGATATGAGCACAGCATCTGAAGTGCCCAGCCTTCTCTCTCAAACTTTCCGTCTAGCTATCACTCCTCTCCGCTATCACCAACATTTTAAGAAAACCACTGTCTGGATGCGCATTCTATCTTCTCAGCAAGGTTGTACCTTATGATTACAGTAGCAGCGTTTCCTGTTTTAAACAGTAAGAGCCAAATGTCCATTAAATTATCTTAAGATTTGTACATGTTATCATTGAAAGTTAAAAATAAAAATAAAAAACACTTTATTTTACAATCTTTCCTCCTTCACCCTGACTGGCCATACTGCGAGTGGGGGCTTGTAGTTGCTTGAGGCTCCTCCTCGCTGGGATAAAGTGTCACCTTAGTAAGGACGGCCATGTCTCGTTTTGCAGTGCTGGCGGGCATGTGTCGGGCCCGAAATGGCATACGATCATGTGTGGTCTAGCCCTTAATGGTAATGGTACAGGGGCAAGGTAGGCCACCGTCTCCACGCCGCTGCGTTGCGGGACCAGCCACTGGCCTACCTGCCAGGCGCCACGTGGAACTTGAACTTGAGAGGCTAGACGTCCATGCACCGTTCCCCGGCGCGGGGAATCGCAAGCGAAACTTGACACAAACGCTCTCTCTCTTACTGAAAGCAGCCGACAGTGTGAGCGGGACCGACCCGACACTCGAAAATAAAATAGGGTGGGTAGGGGGCGAAGGAGGGGCGGGGTGCGCTGAGTGCAGCGCCCGCGGATCCTGCTCTCAGATCACAACTTTTATGACTCGTGCCCCGCCCCGCCCCTCCCCTCCCCCGACCCGGAAAGCCTCGTGTCCAGATTAATTGTGCGATTTCACACGGCGCGTTTGGCGTTTACTAGCGCGGCGTCCGCTGCCACGCAGTGCCACGCAGTGCCACGCAGCCACGGCTGCACCGCCGTATTTACGACGGGGTGCTGATGCCTGCTGATGCGAGTGGGGTGGCGGCTGGCGGGGCTGGCGGGGCTGGCAGCCTGGGGTGTGTTCCCAAGGCAGGGGTGGACGACCGTAGACGACCGGGACTGGGCGAACATTGACCATTCCATCAAGGGCTGCAGGCTGCACAGCTTGCGTAAGCTTGCGCGCCCCACCGAGCTCGGCTGGGCCAGGTCGGGCCGAGCCGGACCCAGGCAGCACCGCGCCCCCTCACAGATATTTTTCTGACTCGCGCCTCGCGGCCTGAGACTACTAGCGTACTGATACTATCTGCTAAAAAAATCTGCACCAATATGGCATTTGTCATGGACAAAAAGTCCGTAGGCCTGGTTATCGTGCACTCCATGTACACTGTACAGCTGGCACCAGCAGCCGCGCGCGCCTAGTCGCTTTGCTTTCAATCTCGCCAAGTTTGCCCGGCCACGCCGCGCCACGCCACGCCACGCTTGTGCCTATATAGCTGCCAGCCTCTCAAATAGCAGTTGATGAGCTTTGCTAGAGTGGAGAACCATACGGCCGGAAGGGGGTGCGGAGCGCGGGGTGCGGCTCGGCAGGGCCCGGCACGGCCAGGGTTTTGGAATCGGAATGGATAGACTAGAGCCAGCAGGGCAGAACCAAGGCGATGAATGGTATCGCTGTGGAAATGCTGCCTAAAGCAAAGCGTATTGTGTAGTGGCAGCACTGCGGAACATGGCAGGGCGTGGCGCGGCGTCCTCAGCTTAGAAACACTGCCGCCGTCGTGGTGCGCCGCGCCGCCGCGCCGCCACCCACTGTAAGCCGGCAGCCACTTTACTGCCCCTCGGCTTGCCTCGGCCCCACGGCCCAGTCCAGTGGTGCGCCTCGTCCCATTTTGCCGCCATTTTCAGGGACAAGTCCCCGTGTTGCCAACCCCAACCTCAAAAAAACGTCCCGAAGAAAGAAACATTGAACCAGCTTTTGAAAAGCGTCGTCAAGTAGTGGATTCATCCCCGGTGGAGTCTCCGCGACGCTACTACACTGACTCTAACGCTGCGAGCGTGCCTGCAGGGCGGGCCTCGGCGGGCGCAGCGCGCAGCTTCGAGCAGAGCGGCAAAAATAAAGTAAATCAAGAAAAGAGACATATGCGACGGCATGGCATACCCCCGGGCGGGCAATGCCATTTGCGTCGAGTGGTTTATTCAGTTAGAGGAATGTTCCACGGATCTGCCATCCTGCCATCTCCTTTTTTTCCACCCCTTGTCGCGTGCGTTCCCCCGACCCCCGTTGATCTGTTTTCGGTCAGCTCCCCCCCCTCTGTCTCCCCCCCCTCTCTCTCTCTCTCTCTCTCTCTCTCTCTCTCTCTCTCTCTCTCTCTCTCTCTCTCTCTCTCTCTCTCTCACACACACACACATTCACACACTCACGCTGCACAATCCAAGATTGATTATGCTCGGCCCAACAGCCGGTCGGCCCACCGCGGGGCTACTTTGCCTTTCGTGTCTGTCTCTCTCGCACTCCGACGGGAACGCCTCGTGTGTCCCGGAGAGAGAGAGAGAGAGAGAGAGAGAGAGAGAGAGAAGGCGGCGAGCAGACGAGTGGCTACTTCCAGTGAACCGTACTTTGGCGGCGGCGCGGCGTGCGGCTCTCGGCGTTCGCCACCACCTCGGGCGATGTCGACGCCCCGTTCCATCCCCCCGCACGCCCCCCGCACGCTCTTCGCGGCCATCCGGGACATCCCCTCCGCAGCGCGAAATATGGGAAAGGGGGAGGGGGGGGGGCACACATGCATGAAGCGGCGACAGATGCCAGCATGCCAGCGTCGGGGTAAAGTGCTCTCACCTTCCCAGTGTGCCGTCTGCCCCTCCGCGTGTAACATGCCGACCTCACAACCCCCCACTCCGCTCCCTCCGCCACCACGGCGCGGCGCGGCCTCGCCACCCAGCGGAGCGCTTCCAGTTGGCTGGATTTACAGATCACTTTGCCGGGGACGCTGTAGGATTAATTGATCATTTCATATATTTTACGCTGCGCGTGGCCCGCCCCGCCGTCTGGTCCGTCTGGGCGCGGCACCTCGCGCCACGCCGCGGGTAATTCAAATAAATACGAAAGCGCTCTCGATTACCGCCCCTCTGCCCCCACTCGGGGGAAAAATGATTTCGTTTGGCGCTTGTCTCTGGCGTCGCACAGTGGGCCAGAAGACCGGTGGAGGCGGCCGAAGCTCTCGACGCGGCTTGGGTCCAGAGTTGCTAAGTGGGACTCGAACCGAACGTGCGACCTCACCAAAGGATTCCTTGTCCGGAGAGCAATCCATTGGTGGTGGTCACACGTTCGGTTCGGGTACCACTTGGCGACTCAGCAGCTCAAAACGCGTCTCGAGTCTTGGCCGCCTCCACCGGCCTTCTGGCCCACTGTGCCTCGTCTGGGACGCCCCGCGAGTGCGACAGAGGGAAACGACTCTTTGGAATCAGTCCGCCGAGTTGCGCAACACATTGGGCCCACGCGTGGGCGGGGTGCGTTACTTGCAACTCAATCTTATAAATACCGCGTAGGCGCGTACGCACACGGTGACTGGAGCCTGCGCGAGCTGCGAGAGTACGAATCTGATTCCCCCACCCCTAGCCAAACCACCCCATCCACCCACACACTCCCACGCACGCACACACACACACACACACACACACACTGCGTCCGCGCGCAGTCATGCTATCACCTCCACCGGAGCAGCGTATAAATTGAGTTTACTGTCTGGCATCAGACATGGCAGCGGGGCCAGCAAGGCGACAGTCGCTAAAGCAAAAGTTGCTTTCATATCTGGAGGGCTCGGCCCGGCTTGGCCCGCAGCGCCTGGCGTCAAGTGCGCACCCGTGGGGCGGCTCGTACGGGTGCGAGAGAGACAGAGCGACGAAAGCGACTGCGCGCTGCAGCGAACCTCGGGCGAGGTATAGACCGAACGAGGAATCCATTGGTGGGGTCACACGTTCGGTTCGAGTCCCGTTCAGCGACTCTGGAGCCCAAAACGCGTCTATAGTTTTGGCCGCCTCCACCGGTCTTTGGCCCACTGTGCGTCCTCCAAGGGAGGACGTCCTCCAAGGGAGGACGACGGTGGCGTCGAGGACGGCGAGGACGGCGGGGAAAAGGAGCACAAGTCGAGAAAAACGTGCGCGGTGCGGTTGAGAACGATAAAGCGCAAAACATTCCTTTGAGTGGTCCGTGTGGCCCGTGGCAATGCCGGCAAGGCCATGGGACCGGAACCGGATGTCCCCTCCCCTCCCTCCCCTCCGTGCTCTCTTTACCCTGGCCAGATTCTCCACCCTCTCCATCATCTGCGTGCGTCTGCGCGCGTCCGCCCGCCACCCTCGCCGAGGCTAGCCTGCCGTCCCGCCCTCTGTCCGCTACGCTGTGGCGCTCAAGGAGAAGGAGGACTCAGTGGCCCCACCAATGGATTGCTCTCCGAACGAGGAATCCATTGGTGGGGTCACACGTTCGGTTCCAGTCCCGTTCAGCGACTCTGGAGCTCAAAACGCGTCTGGAGTTTTGGCCGCCTCCACCGGTCTTCTGGCAAATCCACTGTGCGATAACCCAAACATCGGCCGGTTGTAATCAGCAGAACATACACAGGCCTACTTACAATAGTTGATTTGCGTAAGCGGAGGGGGAGCGCCAGCCAGCGCCAGCCGGACCACTGACCCCAATCCGTGTTTGACTATCAAATACAGGACGGCGCACGCGGCCTGATGAAGGATTGGAGTGCCGCTGTGCCGCCGTGCCGCCGTCCCGTCGGACTGACACCACTTTCATTTGACGAATATCCGTCAACTAGTGGAACTAGTTGGTAGTTGGCGGCGGTTGGGGTTGGGGCGTTGGTCGGTGGCGCTCGGCGGGGTGCCGTGCCGTGCCGTGTGTGAGGGTGGCGTCGTCCAGTCGTCGAGTGGGGTTGGGGGAGGGGAGGGGAGGGGAGGGGAGCCGCGCTGCCCGACGGGGTGCCCGGTGACGCTCGACGCCCGCCAAGTCGCGGTCCGTCCGGTCAAAGGGTTTCATTCCGCACTCATCAATGGCCTCCAAGATTCAATGCCGCCATTCAATGGCCGAGGAGGCACGGCACGGCACGGCCCGCTTGGCTCGGCCCCTTGGCGGCACGGCACGGCACGCGCCCAGCAAGCCCCACGCCCACGCAACAAAAGGCAGGAAGCAACAGAGCTGCGGTGGGTGGCGTCCTCGGCGTCCTCGCCGTCCCACAGTGGGCCAGAAGACCGGTGGAGGCGGCCAAAACTCTAGACGCGTTTTGAGCTCCAGAGTCTTCAAATGGGACTCGAACCGAACGTGTGACCCCACCAATGGATTCCTCGTTC